CAGAGTCCGCCTCCTACAGATCTCAGGGTGGGGGTGGGGGGTGGGGATCAGGTGGCAGTCTAATCTTGTCCGGGTCCTGCTGTGTGTGGCAGGGCAGGTTTGCAACTTTGTTTTATTATTTATGTTATTTGTTTTATGTGAAAGCAGTTATGTTCTTTCAGATTTTTTCCAGGACTACTCTTTCTAAGTAAGTTCCAGTCAATTATTACTGTTCCAAGTTGTTTGAAAGTCAGCTGCTGGGTGACTTTAAACAGAGGTCAAAGCAGACATCTGGATGAGTTCTCTGGGCCCCTCCATGTGCTCCTCGATGTCCCTGACTACCAAAGTTGGCCAGGCCCGGTGGTGTCTGCCCTGCACACTCCCTGGTACCAGCCGTCCAACCTCCAGCTTCTGTCTTCCAGCCCAGTGTCTCTAGAGCCCTGGCCTTCACCTGCCTCCAAGCATGGTCCCAAGTCTTTGCCCCAGTAGCTTCTTCCTAGTCTTCCTAAAAGCTTGTGTTGGCCCTGTTCCTCTAAGTGAGAGGAACACACAGGTCATCTATACTTGGTTTCACCGGCCCTATTCTCCCTCCTCTACTTACTCTAGTCAGGCTTGCCCCTCCCTCCACAAAACAGCCCTGGCCAGGGCCCTGGGTGGCCAACAAGTTCCTGAACCCAGCTGAAGCTCCAGGCTCACCTCCTCCAGCACTTGACCCCCTGCCTGGCTCCCAGCTGTCACTTCCTCCCTGGTTTCCTCCTACCTCTTCCTGGCTACCTCTGCTCAGCTCCTTTTTTGATTCCACCTCATCTCTCCAACTTCCTAACAGGAGTGTTCCAGAGCTCCATCCTGACTGCTGACCTCTTGTCTACCCCCACCACCCTCATCTCATCCAGGCCTCTTTGCCTCCCAGACCCAAGCTCCAGCGCTGGGCACTCTATGAACTTGAGTCACATATCCAGCAGTTGACTTGGCACCTCCATTTTGATGTCCAGTCGGTGTTTAAAGCTTTTCATGGGCAAAACTGATCTTCCTCCCTCCCAAGAACTTCCTCCCTCTGTGGATGCCATGGCAGTTTGGTCCCTAGACAGCCTTAGAGTCACCCTAGATTTGTCTCTGTCCCTCCTTTCATGCCTAAATAATCAGGGAACTTTGCTGACTCTGCTGTCCAACTGTGCTACTACCTGGGCTGAGCTACCTGACATGTCAGTCTGTCTGGAACAGCTGGAGTAGCCCTTGTGTCAGTGTCACCCTTGGTTCACCATCTCACACCCCAGAATCTAATCTTAATGTAGCAACTAAAATAATCCATTTAAAACTTAGAGTTGCTGGGCAGCCCAGGTGGCTCAGCGGTTCAGCGCTGCCTTTGGCCCAGGGCATGGTCCTGGAGACCCAGGATCGAGTCCCACGTCAGGCTCCCTGCATGGAGCTTGCTTCTCCCTCTGCCTGTGTCTCTGCCTCTCTCTCTCTGTGTTTCTCTCATGAAAATGAATAAATAAAATCTTAAAAACAAAACAGAACTTAGAGTTGCTACTGCATTGGACCCTGCCCCCTTCTTTTTAGGAATTGGCTTTGGCTCTCTTCCAGAAAAAAAATCCAAAGTCCTTATGGTGGCTGACAAGGCCCTACCACATCTTCCCCCTCAAAAGTCCCCTCTTGTCCCTCTACCCTTTATGGTCTCGCTTGGCATCAGCCATGACAACTTCCTGGCTGCCCCACTCGGGCACATTCTGCCTCAGGGCTTTGCACTGGCTGATCCCTCTGGCTGGAATGTTCCCTGTAGGCATCCACATGACTTCCTCCCACTTCAAATCTTTGGTCAAACATCTCTTTCTCAGTAAAGCTCACCTTGGGCCCACCTCTAGAATCCCTGTTCTTTTTTGTCCTTACATTGTCATTGTTAATTCTTGTGGTACTGTCTTATAACAAATTATGTAACTCACTGATTATGTGTCATGTTTTTGGTGTGAATTCAATGCCCCACCTGAATTCAGGGTGTGTAGGGGTCTTCAGTTTGTTCACTGCTGTTTTTACAGGTGCTGGAAGAGTGCCTAGCACATGGAAAATCTTAATAAATACTTGGTTTTTTTTAAATTTTTAAAATAAATACTTGTTGAATGAATGAATCCCTTTTCCGGGACACCTGGGTGGCTCATGGTGGAGTGTCTTTGGCTCAGGGCATGATCCTAGAGTCCCCAGATTGAGTCCTGCATTGGGCTCCCTGCATGGAGCCTGCTTCTCCTCCCTCTGCCTATGTCTCTGCCTCTCTCTCTCTGTGTCTCTCATGAATAAATAAAATCTTAAAAAAAAAAAGAATCTCTTTTCCATCAATAGGTGAAGGTGTGCAAGTGCACACAGGTGAGGAGGGCATGGGCAAGGAAGATTGCTGGTCAGAGGAGATCAAGGAGGGGCTCTGCCCCCCTTTCCTGGTCTATATCGTCTTTTTTTTTTTTAACAAGATTACTTATTTATTCATGAGAGACACAGAAAGAGAGAGGCAGGGACATAGGCAGAGGGAGAAGCAGGCTTTATGCAGGGAGCCCAATGTGGGACTTGATCCTGAGACCCCAGAATGACACCCTGAGTCAAAGGCAGAAGCCGCCCAGGTGTCCCCTGGTCTATATCATCTTATTTTACTACTATGAACAGTCATTAGACAATAGCCAAACTATGGAAAGAGCCCAGATGTCCATCGACAGACGAATGGATAAAAAAGACGTGGTATATATGCAATGGAATACTACTCAGCCATCAAAAAATATGAAATCATGCCATTTGCAGTGATGCGGATGGAACAAGAGGGTATTATGCTAAGTGAAATAAGTCAATCACAGAAAAACAATTATCATAAGATCTTATATGTGGAATTTAAGAAACAAAACAGGATCATAGGGGAAGACAGGAAAAAATAAAACAAGACGAAATCAGGGAGGGAGACAAACCGTAAGAGACTCTTAATCATAGGAACTGAGGGTCGCTGAAGGGGACGGGGATGGTGGGGGTTACTCGGTGATGGGCATTAATGTGGGCATGTGATGTAATGAGCACTGGGTGTTATATAAGACTGATGAGTCACTGACCTCTACCTCTGAAACCAATAATATGTTAATTGAATTTGAATAAAAGTTTTAAAAGTCATAAGAAAAGCAGTGAAAATAGAGAAGACCTCTGTGCTGGACTTTCTGGCTGCACTACCTTGCTAATATTCCAAGCAGAGCAAATTTTAAAAAAGCAAAAACGGAGAGAAAAAAGACCTAGGAAAGTCTTCAAAACATACAAAAATGCTTAATTATGACCAAGGGCCTGCAGATCCATTCTTATGGAAACTGAAAGGCTGGACCTTTTTTTTTTTTTTTTTTTTTTTTTAGAGAGAGAGAGAGAAAGAAACTCAAATGGGGGAGGCAGTGAGGGAGAGGCAGAGGGAGCGAGAGAGAATCCTAAGTAGGCTCCTTGCCCAGGGCAGAGTCTGACTTGGAGCTCTATCCCATGACCCTGAGATCATGACCTGAGCTGAAATCAAGAGTCAGATGCTTAACTACTGAGCCACCCAGGCACCCCTGAATGGCTGGACCTTGACAGCCAGGGACAAGGGATACTCATTTTAAGTCACATGGGCACTCAGCTTTTAGATATAGTCCAGTGGCCACATTGCCTGCCTCCTTCCCCTAGGGTATGCTGCCCACTGGCCAGGCTGGAGGAGACCTTGCTGGGCAGGCAGAGGTCTCTGGAGGGCCAGAGTCCTTCTTCCACCCCAGCTCTAGGGGGAGGGGGGAAGGAGGAGGAGCAGGTAGAGCTACAGTCAGCATATCCTCTTGTTCTGAGAGGCCTAAAGCCAGGCTTGGGGTTTTAAGGGAATCCAGGCAGTCCTGCTGCTGCTCTGACCTGCAGCCTTCTTTGGACAGAGGGAGTATGAGAAAAGATCCCAGGGTCTGTCAGCAGGATGGACCCTGTCCTCCACTGCCTCCCACTCTCCAAGAACCACAGATCCCATGCAGGGCTGTGACCTAATCTGATGAGAAGGAAGCCAGAGACCCCCAGAAGGCAGCCCTTACACCAGTACACTCTGGGCTGCAGCCACCTCTAGGCCAGCGTCCAGCTCTTTTCTGGGGCTTCAGGGCGCCCGGGTAAGTCCCCAAGCTGGAGTCAGGCGCCTGGGGCTAAAGGGAACTAGACTCAGGAAGCCCCCCTCTGGTCAGCTGGCACTGCCATGGGCCTAGCAGCCACCAGCTTGAGGAAATTCTTTCTTCAGGGGTTTCCCAAGCTGGCAACTGCCTTGCCAGTTCAAACCGGATTTTTCCTGCTGCCCTTTCCCCGGCAGCCTAGCCTGGTGCAGGGTCTCTCCTAATGAGGGTTTGGTGCCAAGGCCTGGACAGCTCCATCTTGCTGGGTACCAACTGGTTTAGGCCTGCCCCAGGCAGTGGGCAACTTCCCAATCCCATCTGGGGCCAAGGCACCTGAGGCTACCCTGCATCCTTAGACTAGCCTTGCCCTGCTTAGGACCCCCTACTCAAAACTCAGTGTCCTAATATAGGAACTCACTAACCCACCTTTATTCACACTGGGTTTTACTATTAATAGATGCACCTGACAGGTCACAGGACTTCTGGACTTTTGTCGCCAGATTCAAGGCACTGACAGAGGGTTGACATGGCAGCCAGGGAGGGCAAGGGGCCCTTCGGCAGGGCTTCCGCAGGGCTCGGCTGCCCCCAGCTCAGACCCTCCCCGGAGCTGCTGGGGATGCACCTCACGTTGCCTCCTTCCGGAGGCCTCTCTCTGTCCCATTTCCTGAAGCCTCATTAATTCCTCCCCACCTCACCCCGTGAGAAAGCAGGTCTGTGCTGAGCCTGGCCCAGGTCCAGGGCTGAGTCTGAGCATGCCACTGGCTGGTTTGGGAGGAAGGGGGCCTGTCCCACCCTCATCTCAGGGAAGGAGGCAGGAGGGGCCCCCATTGCCATCCGTGTCCCAACGTCCACCCACTTTCCAGAAGCACAGGGTCCACGGGGATCAAGAATACACAACATAGCTGGTCTTATGTATAATATTTATAAAAGGGGGCCCACCGCCTCTCCACTCCTGCCCCAGACCAGCCCCTGGGGTCTTTGGCTCCCAGGGGCAGAGACACTCTGGGCCCCAGCCTCTTTCTTCTCCCAGAAGTGGAATGTGAGCTATGGCCCAGGCTTGGGGTGGGGATGGGGGAGTCCCAGCCTCCCCAGGACTGGTGAAGCAGCAGGGTAGGGGTCCCTTGGAGGTGCCCACACCAGCCTCACACTCAAAAGAACCTGCTGGCTCTAGGTATGGGGGGTGGATTGCTTCTGGTGACAGGGATGGGAGATCGAGACAAGAGTATCCAAGGCCTGAGTCCAAGTGACTGAAAGGGGCCTCGGGGAAAGAAGTGGGGGAAGGAAAGTGCACTGAGGGAGATGAGGCCCCAGGGTGCAGGCCATGGGCCAGCAGCAAGGTGGGGAGATTGCTGCAGGCGTGGGTTCCAGCTCTATGTGCCCTACAGGCTGTGTGACCTCAGGAGGCAGCTGCAGGGCCTCAGTGTATGCATCTGTGCAAGGAGGATAGAGACTTGGGTGGGATCTGAGGCAAGAGGAAGGGAGCAAGCATACAGTCCCACCCTGCTCTCAGCTCTGGAAGCCCCTGTAGCCCAGGAGCCCAGCAAGGTAATGGTCCAAGGGCCTTGGTCCTGGCTCTAACATAAACCTTCTACAGAGAGGATGTGAGGCAGGGCCAAATGCCATAGTGTTAACCATGTCTTTCTCTTCCCCCTTGGCTGGATCCAGGAGCAAGGGCTGAAGACTCTGGGGGTACTTGGACGAGTAGACAGAACAGGATGGGTGTCTCCTCCTAGTGGCTTCCTCCATGCCGGTCAGTCCCTGACACCCAGTCAATGATAATGAAGCTCAAACTCATGGTCATCAGCAAGAGGCCAAGCACAGCGAAACAAAGGGCCTGTGGGGTCAGGAGTCAGAATCAGGTGTGTGGTCAGGGCAGCCCCCTCAGCCCCATACCAGGTCCCCAACCTCCAGGACCCACTCACCAAGATTTTGGGGGTAGACTTTGCAGGTTCCTTCTCGGTGGGCATGATGCGGAAATAGAAGATGGCAGGGAAGATGAAGATGAGGCATGGGGCAGACGTGGCACCTGCAAAGAACAAGGCATGTCCACATATTGGCTAAGGTCCAAGGGTGGACCCTTCAGTGAGATCAATCATTCCTTGTTGGTGGAGACTCAAGATGAGAGTTCTCCACTTGAGAACTCTGTCTAATTCTGGGGAGGCCGCCAGGTCCCTCTCCTTGTTCTCTGTCTACCTGGATGGAAAGCTAGTGCTGTTGGCAGTAGAAGAATCTGTCAGTGAATGAAGCTAGCAAAGAGAAAAGGCAAGCCAAGAGACAGAGACAAAGCCTTGAAGATATTGAGCTCCTAGGTATAGCTATTCCTGATGGCCTTTTCATTATTTGAGCCAATAAATTCCTTTCTGCTTAAATCATTTTGAGGTGGATTTCAGATATATAGAACCTACAGTCCTGTCTATGATATCTGTGACACTCAGCCCCCAGGCCTGTGTGTTGGTCCCTGCAGAGTTGGGTTGGGGAATCAGTCTCCTGAATTGGGTCACCCCAAAGATATCTCATAATGGTCTGATCTTCCAGCTCAGAGGCCCAACTGGAATGGGACAGTGGATAGAGCATCAAACCTATAGTCCCCTGATCCTAGAGCTTAATCAAGGCCCCCCACTTACCAGCTGATGGCTCTGTTACTCCTGTAATCACTATGGACTTCAGTTTCCTTATATGTGAAATGGGGACAAGACCCAATGAGATCCTTTGTGGAGGCCCCTGGCACTTGGGCTCTACTCTGTCCCAAAGCATGGGGAGTTGACTCTGGTTCTGAGCCCTCAGGAAGGATGAGAGTAGCCCTAAGTAGCCCTAAAATCTCAGACAAGAAGCCAAGCTGTGCACGTGACCAGTAGCCATCACTTAAATGTAGGGTATGATCTCAGGAATCCGCCAAGATTTGCAGATAAGAAATTCTCTGGGCCAATGCCCTGCCTCTATATACAGCTGGGCCAGACCCTCACCGATGACCCCGAAGATGCCCAGGATATTGGGAGCGAAGATAACCAGCAGGTTGATACAAGTGAGCAGGCCAATGGCAATGAGCGTGTGCCGCAGCCAATTGAACTCCTGGTTCTTAAACAGCATCTGTTGGATGGCTCGGCGCACCTGGGGAGTAGGAGGTGGAAAGAGTCATCGATCTGTTGGCTCCATCAGTCCCACCCTGCATCCGTCCACCTACCCACTGGCTCACCGGAAACAGAACGATTGGCACAGTGAGCGTGACTGCTGTCAGCACGGCCACACGCACACAGAGGATCAGCACATCAAATGGGTCCACCTTGCTGTAGGTGTGCAGAAGCTCCGACTCCACCCCATCTATGGCAGGCAGGGAAGGTGGTCAGCAGGTGGCCCGGGGAGAGGGTGGCTCTGAGTCTGGGCTGACCCTGACACTGTGAGAAGTGGTAACAGACTCACCTCCACAGCTGCAGGGCACAGTTAGGCATCACACACCTAGTTAGCCCCTATAGTAGGCAGGGTGTCACGGCCACTGGCCAGCCCCATGCCCCCCAGCCTGGTGCCTGCCTCTGCTCTGCCCCCATGGTACAGCCATACCGTAGAAGGTGAGGTAGCCGAAGAGGGCAGCCAGGAAGTACATGACGTACATAACAGCGATGGACAAGTTGGAGATATGCTGCATCTTCTTCTTGGAGGGACTATGGCAAAGCAGGAGAGGGGACTGGTTGCCAAGCTGAACCACACCAGAGATCCCCATGTGCCCTGGGGTCTCTCTGGCACCATACCCTCACCCTTTGGCAGCTCTGGAAGTCTCCTTCTTGCCCCCGTCACCCCTCACAGCAGCCATGGAGATCTTTGATAAAGTGACTTGGCTCCTGTCACTCCCCACCCCCCACCCCATCCTGTCAGGACCACATTCATTCTCTCCAAACACCTACTCCTTGAGCTCTGTGTAGATGGGCAGCACCTCCGGATGGCAGACGAAGGCGAAGGCCATGATGGGAATGGTATATGCCGTCTAGGGAGACATGGGGACTGCGTCAGGGCAGCTCCCTCACTCTCACAGGGCCCACCGCCTCCACCCTGACCTGTTGGAACCTGTGAGTTGAGTGTGAAGTAGCTTGGGGTGCAGAGGGCTGTGGCCTCTGTCTCAACCTGCAGCTGCGCCTCCTCCTTGGTGACCTCTATGAGGCTGACGTTGCCTGTGATATTGGCAAAGTTGAGGGGCAGTGGGCAGGGCACGTGGAACTTTTTGTAGATGACCTGGGTTGGGGAAAGGATGAGAAGATCAGGGCTAGACTAGGTTTGCTCAGAAGTCACTAGAAGCCACATCTAGATCAGGACAAAAGGAGCTGTCTTCTGACCCAGGCTTCCCAGAAAGGCCTGACCCCTCCCCTGACAGGGGAGGCCCCCACCCCAGGTTTACCCCTCCCCCTGACAGAGGAGCCCTTCAGGAGACCTGCCCTCCCCCTGAGAGGGGAGCCCCCAGGAGACCTGCTCTCCACTCCAGCATGACGGGTGACTCACTGCGATTAGGAAGAACACCATGCAACTGAGAGAGAAGCCGCTGGAGTAACCCAGGTAGCCTGCAAAGTGTGGAGGGGCTGTGAGACTGGAGTCCCCTCCCAGGCTTCCCTCCAACATCCCCCTCCAAGGCCCTGGCCCTGCCACACTCACCAAGCTGCCGCATCAGTGCCAGAGGCAGAATGACAGTGATAGAAACTATGATCACCAGGTAGTTCCCGTTCATGTACCAGTCCCTGCAGGGACAGGAGTGGGGAGCCAACATCAGTCTGCTCAGCCTGGTTGGGGGGACTGCCTCCATACCTAATCAGTGCCATCAGTGGTGCTACTGAGTGACCCTTGAAAAATACTTGTTCATAGCTCTGAGTCTCGCTTTCCCCATCTGCGAAATGGACATTCTCTCAGCACTCTCCTGGGCCAGGTGAGGACTAAGGCGCTCGGCTCCTGCTTTGGTGACTGTTAAGGTGTAGTCACTGCTGCTCTTCTCAGGACACACAGGTCTGGGTCCAGTCTCCCCAGGAAGTGGCCCCAAGGGGCCCAGGGAGGTGGTGAGCAAGATGAAAGAACCTGGCTCTGGGGGGTGGGGGGGGTGGGACAGTCTCTGTGAGGGTCTTGGGGACTTGCCAAGGCCTGGTACACCTGGTGGTCCCTCCTGGCATCTGCATCCTGCATCATCTCGCACCCCACCCCCACCAAGGGACTGGGGGCACAGAGAACTAAAGGGATAAGGAATCAGACCCTCTTTCTCAGGGAAGCCTAAAGGTCGACTCCTTGGGAAGGGCCCCCCAGGACCCGGGGGGAAGTATCCTGACAAGTTTTCTCCTTCCAGAGTGGCTCTCAACTTCAAGCCCCTCTGTTTGCCTGTGTAGGCTGTGTGGCCTAGGGCAGGGCCTGGTTGTCTTCTCTGTCTCCACCCACAAAACATGGTTGATGCCATTAGTGCTGGCTAAACTGATGATGGGCAACTGGGACACCATGGGCTTAATTTCTTGGTTGGGAGGGGCTAACACCCAAGCCATGATCAGGAATAGCAGGCGCTTAGAGCTAAGCCCAAGGCTCTCAGGTCCTCCCGTGCTCACAGGTGGGACCCAACTTCCCGTGCTCAGGTCCGGGCCCAGGTGGGACCCAACTTCCTCGGCCTCACCCTACCCCTTGCTTGATCTGGCCCTCCTGGGGGATTCCCCTAGGTGCTCCCTAACCGGGTGTACACTAAATGTCAGCTGTGCTGGCAGCTCTCTGCCCCTCCACCAGCCACTTGCAAGCACTGTCTCGTCTCTCCCACTAGCCCAGCCCAGGTTCCCAGGGCCAACAGTGCACACAGAGGGGCAAACTAAGGCCTTCCACCCTAACCCAGCCCCACTCCACCCTGGAGCTCACGAGGTTTGCTCCTCCAGGTTCAGGAAGGTCTGTATGACAAGAGGCAGCTCAGACTTGATGATGTACAGGTAGCTGGACATGGCTGGGGGGAGAGGGGTAGGCAGGTGCTGGGGTCAGCTAAAACATCCAGCCTTCAGGTTGCCCACTGGCCCACCACCTGCCTGTGTCGGCCTGCCAGCCTCACCTCCAATATTCTGCAGCGTGATGGCCAGGGCCGCGGCCAGCTTTCCTGGGGTCCCAAAGGCACGGTAGCCCAGCTGCTCATAAGCACGGATGCCTGTGGGGACAAGGACTCAAAATAGTCAGGAGTGCTCTCCCCAATCCAGGCCTCCCTTGCTCCACATTGGGTTGGAGGCTCACCCACGATCCCTGAGGACTTGAGTAGCAGGTGGATGGAGTAGCTGGAGAGCAGGGCGACAGCTGTCAGCAGGAACCTGAGGAAGATGGATGAAAAAAAAGCCACCTGGGGCTTCTCTGGCTGCTTGGTGGTGGGGTGATGAGCCCTGAGAGGTGTGGGTGTGTGAATCTGTGTCTGGACCCCCAACAGGTGGGGGTGCAAGTTTGATGGTCCCAGCAGTGGTGAATGCCACCCAGTTTGACCCAGGGTGAGACATGACCCAGGAGGGGCCTCTGAGCACCACCTCCTTGAGTTCTTGGAACAAACATGTTTTCCATTTGGGCTGCAGGGCAGAGCTCCCAGGTAAAGGACACGTGTGCCCACACAAGGCCTGGCCACGGGGGTTCATTCATCACGTATAAAGGTGGTAGAAGGATAGACTCAGGTCTGTTAGGCTTGCCCTGTGTTGTCATCTCAGCGGGTTTACTGGGAAATGAGGGATATTTGTCTGGCCATGGCTGGTTTTTTTTAGCTGTGGTTTGGGTTAAACCCATCCACTGCAGTCTGCATCTTAGGATGGCAAACTGGGGGCCTGTGAGGTCATGGCTGTTGGCCTGTTTAGGGGTCCTGTCTCCAGAGGGTTCGCTGAGGGGACTTACAGGAAAAGGATAATGCCCGTGTTGGCCATGGCGTAGGCGAGCCCCAGGATGCCGCTGCCCATGATGGCGTTGCTGAGATTGAACACCGACATCCCAAATGAGGTCTTCCCCTCAAACTGCAGGCACCAGAGGGAGATGAGAGGTGGGGACAACTCAGCAAAGCATGGAGGGCCTCCCAGCACGCCCCCCCCCCTCACTGGCCCTTAGCCTCCCATAGCTGCCCAAGAGCACTTCAGTACTGCACGCAAGCTCCCCACGGTGTCCCGAGCCCCCCCTGCCCCGGCTCACGTCAGTGAAGTGCTGCTCCTTGCTGGGGCTTTTCTGTAGGAAGCCCTCGCCCTCAACACAGCTCCGTCTGGGGCCCTCGACCCTGCAGGCACAGGCCAGAGCAGCCAGCTCACCTCCAGCCCTTGCTCTGCACGCTGCCCTGCCCTGAGCCATGCCTGGGTCTCCCCTCTGCTCACCTCTGGTGGCCTGCCATCGGGGTGGGGGCTGGGAGCAGCCCCTCCGAGTGTTTGCCATTGGGCACCAGCTCCACCATTTCCGTCTGCAGGGGTGCCTCCATGGTCAGGGGCCACCACCAGGAGCGCTAGTTCCACACCGACACAGAATTCTGCAGAGCAATGGTTCCCTCTGGTTATCCCTGCTCCCGGCTGAGGCCCAGCCTCCCTACAGCCATAGCACACCTCCCAGAAGGTCTCACGTGGACTTACGTGTGTATGCAGCTGTGCCTGCTGCCTCCCTGGGACCTCCTTTTGGGGGAGTAGAGCTCAGATAACTGAGTTCTCCAGGACATCCCTAGGGGACACCTCAGCCAATACATAGTGCCCCTCACCCCCCCACATACCAACCCAGGCAAGCCCGTGGGGGCCTCGGTTTCTCTATGAAGTGAGGATCAGCTGGATGACCTGAGTTCAAAGCCCAGTGGTGCCCAGACCCTAGGATGCTGAGTCCCGAGCATCCAGGCCCCACTCTGGGGGTGGGCCCTGGACCGACTCCCCCTTCACTGACATTAATACCAGGAGACAGTTTCCTGTGCTGGCCCTGTGTGCCAGGAGCCTCCTAGCCAACCTAGAATGGCACTGCCCGACGGCTGGAGGCCTCGGGAGAGGGTGAGGGCTGTGGGCCCTGTTCCCAGCCGCCCGGCGGGCACTGCTGGCAGCCAGTACAAAGGGCCTTCTGTGGTCTGAGAGCTGGCGCTGGGAACGGCAGGCGCAAAGGCTACCCCCCCGGAGCCAGGAGGCCTGAGGCGGTGCTGGGTGGCTGGACACCTGGGCCCTGCCCGCCTGGCCACGAAGGGCCCTCGGGGGGCCTTCCAGGAAATGAGTGTCCCAGGGCCGAGCTCTCTGGGCCACACAGGCATCACCCTCCACACAGCCCTGGCCTTAGGGCCATGTTCTCCTTCAAGCCTCTCCTCCCCTACTAGGGAATACTGTCACCCCTTAAGGGGCCACCCTGCAGGAGTGGACCCCTAAAGCAAATTCCCATTTCCTGGAACCCCAAGCCAGAAACTCAGGACCTGACGCAGCTACAGAAGGGCCTGGGTCACTGGGTCAGTCCTCCCTTCCCTGCCTTCAGGCCATGGCTCTGCTAGGTCTCAAAGCAGCCAGCTCCCTCCTTGCCTCACACCAAGCCTGCCCCCTGCCTCTCACTAGCCCCTCTCCTGTCCCTGGGGCTGGGAGCCACCTACCCCACGCCCAGAAGTTACTTGGGTACAGTGCCCCAGTATCTGTAAGGACATCCTGAAGGCCAGGTAGGCCAGTAGAAGAGCTAAGACCCGAGTGGAGACCGAGGAGGGGGCAACACTGCCATTCACGTCCGCCACAGCCCAGTCTATTTTTTTTAAGGTTTTATTTTTAAGTAGTCATGACACCCAAAGTGGGGCTCAAACTTACAACCCCAAGATCAAGAGTTGCATGCTCCCGACTGAGCCAGCCAGTCACCCCTACTAGAGCCTAGTCTTGATGCCATGGTGCCCCCTCTGCTTGGGAACTCTGAATCTTGCCCTGAATGCCCTATCCCCACTCTGGATCTTGGTGGTCTCAGGTCTGCTTAGAACCCAAAGCACCAGGGTTCTTAGCACTCGGGGCTATACATGGGGACAGGAAGCTAGGTTCAGACCTCAGGCCCCAGTATCCTGGAGGCAGCCACAAAGAACTGACTGCAGGACCAGCTTACCATTGCCCCAGGCAGCCCCAGGCCAGAGTTCAGATCCTGGGCATTTTGGTCCTGGGGACTCCATTCCTGGCACCCTTAGACTCCCTCAACCTGCCTCTCCTTCTTATGCTGGCATCTGAACCCATCTTACCTCCAGCCCTGCCCACTCAGGACCATGACAATGTGGCCATCTCCTCTTGTGCTCTCCTCCCCTGGACTAGAGCCCCCAAAGTCAGCCTGTCTTCATGCGCCTGCCTGAAGCCTCACCATCAGCACTTCTCCAAGGATCCCAGGTGGGTGTGGAGATGCCAGAGTCACTCCAGAGTGTCCCCTGGCTCTCAGCTAGGGTTGCCCTTTTCAGCTAGGTAGGGCCTCCTACCCTGGGCAGGCTGGGACAGGCCCTCAGAGTGTGCTGAGTTGGCAGCTTGGACAAAGCACCCTTCTCTGCCTTAATATCCTTCCTTAGCAGTCAGGCACTACCTCCAGGGAGACCACAGCCCACTGCATGGTCATGGCCAAAGTGTCTGAGTTCCTGTCTCCAGGTTCCCCATCCCCCTAGCAGGACTTAGGCCTAGACCTTCATTGCCTGTCTATTACTCACAACCAGTCACTGCTGGGTCTTGGCCTGGCTTGAGATCCCAGAGAGGACATGGAATGTCCTTCCTTAAGTGACTTCTAGCCTGAAAGGGACAAAATCCCCAAACATATCCCCCACTCTATGGCTCCTACAGCAATTGAATGTGAGCCACAGAGTGCTGGGATTTGAAAAAGGGGAGACAGAGGCATCAAGGAAGCCTTCCTGGAGGAGGAGGTGGTGGAGCCAGTTCTTACATCTCAGGAGGAGTCCCAAAAAGTGTGGAATAGGAAAGAGTACCTGAAGCAGAAGGCATAGCATGGGAAAAGGCTCTAAGGTGTGGTATGAGGCAGAATGAAGGTTCCACGGCTATAGACAAACCCAACAAAGCCTTGAAGGCCAAGTCATGGAGTTTGTGAATCAGTGTAGGGCAGGACTAGGGGCTGAGAAGCCAAGGTGGAGACGAGTGCTAGCCTGGCATGTGGGTCCCCAGGCATTCTCTGAGGCTGGCAGCCCATTCCTGACATCTCCCATCCTTGAGGCCTACCACCTAGCAGGCTTCTTTGTAGCAAGGAGTCAGGGTAGATCCAAAGATAGCCTCTGCCTAAAGAAAGCTTCCAGCCAATCCTGACTTACTGTTGGGAAAGCCCAGAGCAGACACTCCAAGTCTGAGTCCCAGCCTGGTCCTGCCTCACTGATGACCATGGGCAGAGTATTCCTCACTCAGGACCTCGGTGTCCTCTTGTCCTCCAGAGGTCCCGTGAGGTCTGGCAAACCTGGGGACAGAGTGAGGAGCCTCCCCAGGGCCTTTGTTCCAGACCATGCCATGGGCTCCCAGGAAGGGGTCAGGCTCCAGGGTAGAGAGATCACTGCAACCTTGGGCAGATCGTCAGAATGGCATCTGTCATGGGTGCAGCATGGACTTGGGCAGGAAATCGATGGCCTAGGCCACTGCCCCGGGGCCTGTTTGCTCTGCTAGGAGATAAGGGCCAGGAGAGGCCAGGAGCCACAGGGATAGTACAGCAGGTAATGCTCGCCCACGCAGGCATCACAGGGTGAGAATTTGTCAGACACACTTCGAAAGGTGTTGAGTTTGGTAATTAAAGATTTTGAGGCCCAGGAATCCAGGCCACTGCAAGGCCACTGCTTGCATCAGCTGCTGTGGGACACATACCTCTCTGTCTCATGATCAAGGTCCTTGGAGCCACCAAGGACTTGAGTCCTGCTTTCCTCCTCAATGCTCAGGGACATAAGTGGGTCTGCAGTAGCAGGCTAGCTACAGGGAGGCATCCACACTGTCCTTCCCTCAGCCCTGTGACCACATATGCTTAGTGGAGCCACAGACCCCATAGAACTTGCTGCCATGGCCCCCAGGTATCTGATGCATGGGAAGGCCTAACCTCAGCCCACGTCTCAGGGTAGAGGCAGCTGGTCTGGTCTGAGGGTCCACTGTGGTTACTCAGGGATGAGGGCTGCCTCCGCTTCCAGCTCACCCATCCTTATTCCCCTCCTTGGCTGAGACAAGGTAACCCTCCTATCATGGTACCCTTTTGTCCACCTGGTTCTCCAGGCTTCAGAGGGAAAACACCATCCTAGAACAAGCTATCAGTCAACAAGGAAAGTAGACTCAATGGACATGTTTGAATTATATGTTCTCAAGGGCACAGCCCCAGGGATTGGTAGGGAGATGATTGCTGGGGTCAGGCGACTAGAGAAAGGGCATGTGGAAGGGTGTTCTGAACATGGGAGAGTACTACAGCCCCATACACCCCTAGCCCCTTCTCCAGATTTTGACCTCTGTAGATCCAGTACCCCATCCACTACTCCTTCCAACAATACTGGGTAAGTGGCCAACACCTGGTGGGCACTGAGGTGGGTGGTATGCAGGAAGTAGCACATCCAGAGAAAGGAAGATGGCTCAGAACATGGAGGTATCAGCAGCACCAATCCCTCCTAGTCTAGCTCCCTGGCCCTGGTGTCTGGGGTCTGTGCTTCTGTGTTCTGGGCATCCGGAAGTGTCTAGGAGGATCTGAGGCGCCCAGCTGAGGCCGGAAGTTGGACTTTCCTGTGACAGGGTACATTTTCTAGACACCCAACAGATGCTTAGAGTTGGGCCTAGGCCCAGACACCTAGGCCTTCCCTCCCACCCAGCCCAGGACCTTCTTTGCTCCCCCAGTGGGAGCTGCAGCTGGAGCCTCTCTGCTCCAGACTGGGCCAGAGCCAGAAGCAGACCCCTCCCCCCACTGCCAGCCTGCTGAGACGGACGTGCAGCCCGAGCCCCAGCTGAGGCAAAGGACAGGACATCACGTGCCTGTGGCCCCCCAGGGGCAGGGGAGACCCCGGGCCAGCCAGCCCATCGTCCTCCCTCCTGACCCGGAATCCCCTGGAGGCAGCCAAATATTTGGACAGCCGGACTTCTAGCCCCAAGGAAAGCAGGAGCAGGGGCCCGAGGCAGCTGAGGACTCACTGGAGACCCTGGTGGGGGCAGCTGAAGGCAAGGTCGGCCTGCAGGAGAGGCACTATCCACTGTCAGGCAGAAGCAGAGAGGCAGAGGGAGGGAGGAGAGAGACAGGGAAAGAGGAAGGACAGGAAGCACATCCATATGGTATATGTGTGTGCGTACTGATCCAGACAGAAAGACAGACAGGCAGGCACAGGGAGATAGAGAAATGCAGACGGATATAGAGGTACCCAAACAGGAAAACTGACACACAGAGAGGTGGATAGACATTCAGATGGGGAGACAGAGAGAGAGAGGCAACCAGGGAGGTGAGAGGCAGAGATGGCCAACCAGCCAGACAGAGAAACAGGGAGACAGCCAATGAACAACAGAGAAAACCCCAGAAGGAGTGAGAAGGGAATAGGGAGCCAGAGGCCCAGGTGAGAGTGGGCAGCAGGCCCAGTGGGGACCGCAGGGATGGCCAGGCTAAACCCTGGAGGACCCTGCAAAAGGCAGCCACAGCATTTGCAGTTTCCTACGAGGGCAGGTTATACCGCTGTTAGCTAGGTGCAGGGACATCCATGCGGTGGGACTGAGCCCACGAAGGCTGCATGGCCAGTCCCAGCCAGAAAGCTCACCACTCCCCCGTCCGGCACTTATCTACCCGCACAATAGAAAAGATACACAGAGGTGACAGTCAATGGAAGTGACCCCCATTCTCAGCAGCCACGCACGTGTGCAGACGTGACGGCCGAGAGGCTGTGTACAGGACGTGGCCCGCAGAGCGGAAATTCAAAACCAAGCCACCCCAGGCCGCTGACCGGAAAGCCCCTCCTGCCCCAGCAGCTGGTCCTTCCCTTTGGCCCCCAGCAGCTCTGCCTGGTCTTCTAGAGTGCCCCCCCCCCCGCCGCATCTGTCTTCTTATCCAGAGTCAAAGGCCAGCCCTCCATCCCCCAGACCAAAGGTGCACAGGGCGCACGGTAGGCACTCAGTACCTGTTGTTAAATGAACAGAAGAGGTTCCAGGTCCTTAGCAAGACCCCAGCCCCTCTGAGCCAAGCTCTGAGTGGCCCCTGGCCCTTGGCCATGTCTGTGCTAGACCATGTGCCTACAGGGTTCCTATCTTATCATGGCATAGGCTGCACATCCCACCGCAGCTTTCTGTGCGCACAGATACCAAAACTACCTCCCTTGCAGTCAACCACACCCCTAAAACACGCTTTCCCCTCAGAATGAGTGCCTTGTTTCCACACTCAGCCTAGACTTTCAGGGTGTAGTTAGTTCAGCTCAAAAACCTTCCCTGACCCTACTCAGAGGCCGTGAACCACCCAGGCTGTCTTGTGTTTCAGTTCCTCTATTTGCCCAAGGCTCCAAGGCCACTTGCTAGGGCAGCAGGCACCAGGACAGGAACAACCTAGTCATCATGGTTTGGCCACCTAGAGCCCTGGCCTGGGGTAGGGATGGGGTGGGGGTGGGGGCAGAGTGATGTGGGCCAAAAGAACCAGTACTGAAGAAATAATGGTTTGAGAAGCCAGTGAAGACATGGGCTCTATGAGCCCAGGCAGAGTGAAGTTTTGAGATACACACCCATACCCTTTGCAGAGAACTGGCCCCCTGTCCCCAACCCCAAGGGGTCAGAGATTCTCATTTTTGACTCCAGTCATTCCAGCCCTCTTGGAGATGCGCCAGGCCTGGCCTCACCCACCCTTGATTCCTCTCACCTCTGGTGCTTCCTGCACGAAGACTTCCAAGGCTGTGCAGAGCCTCCCCCTCTCAAAACGGAACTATCCCCAGATCTCTCCAGCTTTCTATGCTCCAGACTGAGAAGCTCTGACGGATTTTCTTCCTTTCTAGGAGGAACTGAGCTCCATGCCAGACTGTGTACTGAAGAGGAAGGGGTGGAAGGTCCAAAGGCTTCTTCCAGAGTCAGAACAGTGGCCCAAGGCCGCCATGGAAGGAAGGACTGGCAGGCTGAAGGAGGGATGAGCCTGGGTCGAGGTGTCCCCCAGGGTGCAAGGTGCAAGGTCCTTTGACTCAGTCCCCCTCAGACTTGTCTCAGAGCCTATACCTGAGCTCAAGGCTCAGGTCCCCGAGGGGGAGAGGGCGGCCTCCCACAGGCCCCGCCCCCGGCCTCCCCCTCCCCGGGTGTAAACAAACGCACGCATTCTCCGCGGCCAATCCGAGGGGCTAATCGCGCGGGGGCGGGCTCCTGCAAACCCAGCGTCGGCCGCGTCTCTCCGCCCGAGTGCGCGGCGCCGGCTCGCACACCCCCGCCGGGGAGCGAGGCGGCTAGGAGCGCGCACGGAGCCCCGCCTTCGGGCCCGGGAGCCACGCGCGTCCTGGGTCCGCCGTGCCCGCTGGCCCGGCTGCAGATGGCACGGGCTCTGGGACCAACGTGTGCCCCGCGGCCCCTCCGGCAGCCTGGCCCGATCTGCCCTCAAGCCCCTGCCCAGCGCAGCCGGGATAAATATACTCGGACTGCCGGCGTGCCAGCCCTGCAGACTTGCCTGTCGGGCGCCCGTCGGGGCAGCGCTCCAGGGCCGGCTCCCGGCCCCTCTCAGGCGCCCCCGGGACCCTCTCCGGCTCCTGCCCGCGGGGTCCGGCCTGGGGAAGGCCACCGCGCACCGCCCGAGCCCCGACACGGCGTCCGGCGGCCCCAGCCCTGAGGGCTGCCGACCTCCTGCGGCCCCGCCCGGCCCCGCCGACAGGCCCCGAGGCGACGAGGTGCCCCTCCCGGGCACCAGCTCCAGCCCGGAGCTCAGTCCTGACCGGCGGGTCCCCGGACCGGAGCCCAGAGCGCGCGGGTTTCTGGCTGGCGGGAGGCCGGGGCGCCCGCCCGGGGCAGGGCGGGAGAGGGGAGCTGCCCAGAGCCCCGCTACGGACGGGAGGGTGCGCGGTGGGGCTCTGCGCCCCCGGTGCCCTGGGCTGAGGTCGGCGCCCCCAGCGGTACCTGGCCCGGCGGGTGGGGACGCACGGTGCTCCGCTCTGGCTGGCGCTGTCCGCTCTACTCCCAGCTGAGCGGCGGCGGGGGATGAAGGGCGCCCGGCCCCGCCCCGGCCCGCCCCCGGCCCGCCAATCCCAGGCGGCGGGCGGGAGGAGGGGCTGGTCTGGGGAGAGGCGGGGGGCCTCCGCCCGCCGGGAGCAACCGGGCAGCCCGAGCGCTCGAGAGCTCCTAGGTAGGAGAGCGGTTGCCCCGGGAGGACTCCACTGAGGCCCGCAGGAGGAACGCTTCAGTCCAGAGTAAACTGTCTCTGGGTGCCCCCTTAACCCCCGAAATGCTCTGCCCTCACCTCGCCGGAGCCAGAAGAGAACAGAGCAATGCTTCATGTCGGTGAAGGGTGCTTTCAGTGGGGGAACTTTCAGATAGCAATCAGTCACAAAATGTCTTTTCTGCCTGCCTCACCCTTCCCCAAGCAGAGATGAGATGGGGGTGAGGACCGGGGCTACCTGCATCAAGTCTTCTGTCTTCACCCCAGATATCCAGGAGAGACAGGGTGGGGCCAGTAAGGACAGGAGGTGAGCATGGCTAGGCCTGTGCTGAGCCCTCGCTGGGCTCTCCCTGGCCGTGCCCCTCATTTCCTTATTTCTAAGGAGTAAGCGACAACTGTATCTGCCCATGGGAAGTGGGGCCCTGAACTTAGTGCCATGGGGGAGGGGTTTTAGGTTGTCCTGTTCTTGGCTGGGGACTCCTATTCCACCCCTGCCTGCCTCCTGCCCGAGGCCTTGGTGTTCAGAGGTGGGTGGTAGATGTTAAGGCCCCTCAGGCCTAGCCAGCAGGGAGCTGGGAGAGGCCTTGACCTTGGGGGTGAGCTGGGGGGGGTTCCCAGAACAGCTGTGTCCCTTGCTTCTCAGCCACTGGCTCTGATCCGATTAATCCCATGGCCTCTGCTGTTCCTAGCCAAGTTGGATGTCTCTGTGTCATGTCTGCCCCCGTCCTGGTACTGGGGGAATGCCCTCAGAGGACGGGCCTAACCTCTCTCTTGCCCTGGGCTAGGAGTCAGGACTCCTGGATTCTCTTCTTACTGACTCACAGCACCACCAGAGCCAAACCCTAGCCTATCTGTTTCCCCTTGTATCTTAGGGAAATGGCTTTGTCCTCTCCCCTGGCCTGAGGGGAGTGGATGAAGGGGAAGATGTAAATGGGGGGGGGGGGGCGGCGGCAGGGGATTCAGCTTTGGCTGGGAGTGCCAGGGAGCTGGGAGGACTAAAGAGAAAAGCACTAGGATGGTGGCAATCCCTTAAACCACCCAAGCTCCCGTCTGGCTGATGGCTGAAAAATAGGCAGGGACTGGCTTTCGCTCCCGATCTGGGGCTAGCATAATCCCCAGATCAGAGCTTACCTTGGTCATGAGGGACCCTAAGTCTCTAGCCCTCCAAAGGGGCTTGAGGACTGCCCATTGGATAGTCAGGAGGGGAGGTTCGGACCAGGGTCTGCCCCCCACCTCCCAGCTACATATATCCTGGATGCTCACTGTAGCCTTTTCCAAAGGGCTGAGTGCTCCCACTGGCAGTTCCTGAGGGGCCAGGCCTGGCATCAAGGTCACCCAGCATGTGGGTGTTGGGGTCCTCAATCCTGACTGGAGGGAGCAGGGGCTGGCTGGGCTGGGCTGGGCTGCTGTGGGTGGCCTGAGGCAGCATGATGTGGGGTCCCTGGGCCAGACCAGTTGTGGCCAGGAGGGGAGGGGCTGCCTGTTTGTTGATGCTAGGTCTGGGCCCCAGCCAGGACAAACACAGCCCCGAGGCCTTTCCCCGCCACCTGCCGAATCTCCCAGCCCAGCCTGTGGTGGCAGGACAGCTGGCAGCCGGGATGGGACTCTGAGAGCTGCCGGGCACCTTCTCCCAGGGACCAAAGGGAAGGTCCATCCCTGTAATACAGTGATGGGGACAACCACCTGGAATAGAGAGTTGGGGGAGCTTTCTCTCAGCCCTCCGCCCAGCCCCCACTACCACTCCGCCATCTCCAGAACCTGAGACACAGGCCGCAAGAGACTGCCGGACACATGAAACAGAACTTAGGGTCCCAGGATCACTCAGACTCTTCTTCCGGGGTCTTGGCAGCCCTTTGCTCTCCTCCTGCTTCTTCAGTCATCTCCTCTCAGCCTCCACATAGGCGGCCGCCTCTCACCACGTCACCACCTCCCCCAGCACATCATCCACACAGTGCCCCAAGACTCTTCTCTGACGGTGAGGCCCATCCTCGCCTCCAACCCAGTCCTCCTCAGAGCCCAGCATCGGTACCCACTGACTGCAGGGGCCTGCCTCACACTCAGCTGGCCTCCTGACATCCTCCCAACCGAGTTCTTGTCCCAGTTGGCCTCTGCCCACCCCACCTGGCTGGCCACACATGTTCCTGCCTTTCTCAGAACACACCAGCCTTCCCCTCCCTGGCCCTCGGCCCTCCTGGTTCCCTCACTCTCAGCAGGCTCATACATGTCTTTTGACACTCAAATAGAAGATGCCCCCTGAATATCCTGGCCAGCTCTTCCTGTCCTTCATGTGTCCGTGCCTGCCATCCCACCACACAGCCTCAATGTCTCCAGGTGCTCCCTCTGAGTTGTCTAGACAGGAAAACTCCTGCCTGGTTGGAGGGCATGAATTGGGAAAAGCCTGCGGGCTCGGTTCTGCCAAGGGGAAGAAAGACACACGCCAGGGTCTGGGGAAAGGCCATTAGGATAGAGGAAACAGCCTGGCTACACGAAAACATAAGTACGAGTGTGGGACTAGCACCAGCAGGTAGAAGGCTGTGTACAGGGCCAGGACACTGGCCTAGAGTCGTGTGCAGGGTTTCAAGGCCTCATAGGAGAGGATGGTCCTCACCTCCACGCCCCAGGATTGGGTACCCACACCCGTAGCTCCTGACAATATTCTGCCCACTTTGGCGTCTGGGAGGCTCTTCTTCAAGGACAAGCAGGGGTTTAGTTGGTGTGATACAGGGTGTGGAACCCTGTGAGGGACCCACAGGCAGACAGTCCTCCCCCAGCCTGGGTCCCCAGAGCTGACGACCTGTTGGCTGAGGCCTGCTTCCACACCTCTGGCATGCCCTCCCTCTCTCCCCTGAGATCTGGCCCCCAGCCTCTCTGGCCACTGAAGCGGCTTAATGAGCCCAGGTCACATGGGCTGTGCTACTGCCTGTGGGGAGGGCCCAAGCCCCCAGTGGCCACCCGACCAGGCCCTGACGTCAGCGGCATTACCGTCCACCAGGCTTGTCTAATCTCTGGTCAGTGGCTGGGCCAGGTTATTCCCGCCAGAGCCAGAGCTGAAGGCTGTGAGGGCCCTTGGGGGTACCCTAGGGTTGCAGGTCAGGCAGGGAGGGCGGTGATTAGAGGTGCCCACAGTATATGACCCCTACCTATGGGACTAGGGTGTGGCCACTGTGCTGACTGTGGCCAGCTCTGATCCTCTGCCCTCCACTGTGAATCAGGCATCGAGCACCCATTGATCCTGCTCCTTAGGGTGTAATTACACCAGTGTGGTGAATGGGGCCAAGGAGGCTTTGAGCTAGGAGACTCAGCACCACCCCTCACCCCCACCCTGACCCCAGCATACCTATGGCCATAGGCAGGGCAACTTGGGGCCAGGCTCTGTCTCCCAGTCCATAAGATCCAGGAATACCAATCCCGAACCCTGCAATCAGAACTGTGTGTGGAGGGGGCTTCCTGCAAGGTGAAGTGCAGCCCTTGCCTGGTGTTTGGAATTCTCTTTGCCTCTTGCTCAAGAAGGCTGGGGAGCTCATTACTTTTCTTCCAAGACAAGGTGACTACAGGGAAGTCCCCATTAGCCCACCTCACCTTACACCTTCCTCCCTCCCAAGCCTACCACTTCTAGCTCTTCAAAGCCTCTTATCTGCTGCCTGGCCTCCCACTAAATCCTGAGGTTATTCCCCTGCTCCACCTCACTCCAGTAAACTGCTCAATGAGAGGGTCCGTAGTGGAGATGAGCAGCCAGGCTCAGCCAGGACCAAGACGGCCCAGTGAGGGTCCTGAACCATTGGCCCAAGCCCTATTCCCCCCCTCAGGCATCTGAGCAGCACCAGTGTGGCTGAGCTCTCTAACCCATCCAGTGCTCTACCACCACCCTGTGCTCAGGCCTGGGCACCCTCGCACACCCCTTCTGCCGCTCACTTCAGGCTCAGAGCTTAGCGCTCCACCTGGACATTGAAAATGCTGCCTTCTGCACAGCCCTGGGTATCTGTCTGCCTCCTGGACATCTCACTCAGGTCGCCAAAGGTCTGGAAAACCCAGTCCACTCAACGCTTCTGCAGTCCCAGCTTGATGGGGGCATCACATGCACTTGGTCAATAGCACAGACCCAGAACCCTTGTGGGTGAACCCCATCGCAGATCTTGGTCCCATGGGGTAATGGGGACATAATTCTCTTCCTATGGATCCCACAGCCCCACTGTTCTCCTCCCCCATACCCTCTCACACTGGCCCCCAGGAAAAATGTGTGCCCCTACATACCTCTTTTTTTTTTTTTAAGATTTTATTTATTTATTCATGAGAGACACACAGAGAGAGGCAGAGATACACGCAGAGGGAGAGCAGGCTCCATGCAGGGAGCCCTATGTAGGACTCAATCCTGGGACCCCAGGATCACTCCCTGAGCTGAAGGCAGACGCTTAATCGTTGAGCCACCCAGGCGTCCCTACATACCTGTTTTCATGAAACATTTTAATGACTATTTTTTTCCAGAAAGAGTGGTAAAATATTATTGATGATTTTATTTCCATTAAAGCCAGGAAAAGAAGATTATAAATTAAGATACAGATAAAATAGCTAAGCTTAAAATAATGTTGAGTTTTCATATACCTATTTTGAATTTTTTTTCAACTATTTTAATATTCTCAAAATTTACCATTAAAAATACATAAAAACATATATAGGAGTCAACAGTTTCCTTTTGCTTCAGGCTCCAATATATAGCTCAGCAGAGTTCTCTTGGATCTTGTTTTTATTTACAATTTTGATATTTTGCTCATCATGGGGTGTTTTTTGTTGTTGTTGCAGTCATTCTCTTCTTTCTTTCTTTCTTTCTTTCTTTCTTTCTTTCTTTCTTTCTTTTCTTTCCTTCCTTCTTTCTTTCTCTCTCTCTCTCTTTTTTTTTTTTTTGAGTAGGCTCCACACCTAATATGGGGCTTGAACTTACAACCCCAAGATCAAGAGTCACATGTTCTACCCACTGAGCCAGCCAGACGCCCCTGTAGTAATTTTGAATTTAAAAAGTATTGCATTCATATATTATTTATCTCAATTACTGAACTTTTTGGCACCACCTGAAATTCTGCACCCCAGGTAAGTGCCTCTTTTGCTTCAACCCTGCTATTAGGTTCTAGCTTCAAGGGCTTCGAAGAGAAAGCTCAGGCCCTCAAGCTGGCACTTGGCTCCTGTCCATTGTCTAACCACCCCATGTCCCCTTTGCCTGCTCCTGCCTGTTGAACTATGGCCCACAAGCCTGTGTTTCTGGGCCTTAGACACCCTACTTTCCCTGACAGAACTCCCTCTTGATCCAAAATAATCCCTGTAAATCTTTCCCATGCTCCTTTCCCCTTCAACCTCTCTCCAGAGGCACAGGTTGGTCCCATACCCCCACGAGTTCTCCTGTTACTGGGCCAGGGGCTTCTCCCTGGAAGGGCTGATCTTCCCATTTATGTCCAGCCTAGCGCTGGACACTTCATAAATGCCCATGACTCATGATAATTAACGTTTTTCTCTTCCCACAAGAAAGGACAGCCGGGGCCTGATGCAAAGGTTTATTGCTGAGTCCATGCATCTACCTGAGGGGAGTGTGGATTGTGCTCTGGTCTGGAGAGATGGAAGCCCCTGTCCTCGACTGCAGCATAGGTCTCGGCCCACAGGCAACAGCAAGGACTCAGGGCATGATGAGGAAGTAGGGAGAAGGGATGTAGGGACATGGGCCTCTGTCCCTGACAAAATTCGGGCATGGCCCTCAGTTTTTCATGCCAGGGAATGGGCCCTGATTGGAAAGAGGAGTATGAGAAGTTGCTGGCAGGGACAAGAGGGTTACCTGGGTTTGCTTGTGACCCCATCTGAGGTAGACCCCTCTGGGCCCAACGTGGGCCTCAGTCATGTCCCAAATCCTCTGCCTGGGGCTGATCGATGGAGCTGGACTCTGCCCCCGGCCACCCCTCAGGACAGTTTGACCATTGGTCAGAGCTGGTGTCAACAGTACCCTCCCTCAACAGATCATCCCTTTGGCCGGCTGGCCTAGAGTACTGTGGGTGTGTGTATAGGGGGTGAAGTAGGACATGGATCTGGTGTCCAAGGACAGAGGAGGCAGAGCCTGTGGGGGAAGGGGACAGGTAGTTACGCTGAGCCTGCTATGTGGGGTAGGATCCAGCTTGGGTCTATTCCTGACACCCAGGGGCTCCTAGGCCTGCCCCCTACTAACTAATTCATCTGTGCAGGAGCTACACAGGCCAGAGTGCTTGGACTTTGGACCCCTGAAGCTACTGAGAGGGACAGTCACTGGCCCCTGGATAGGCAGGTGTCAGACTTGCCACATGGAGGTGGTAAGGCTGGACTGAACTGATGGTAAGCAGCAGGTCTGCTTGGAGGAGGAATCCCTGCCTGCCCCGCCCCCCCCTCTTGAAACTGGGAGGGAGGGCTGTTTGCTGAGCCCAGACCCACCAGGTGAGTCATGGGCCCCCTGGGGAGAGAGACCTGCAGGAGATTGGTCAGTTGGGCACTGCTGAGTCACTGTGAGCTCTAGCTGTCCCAAGTCCTGCCTGCTCCTAGCTGGGGCTGGCTGGGGTGGGTCCTGGAGGCCAGTGCAGCCAGGCCGTGAAGGGCAGCAGTGGGGTTGGGGGCACTAGGCTCTGGGAGACACGGGGGAGGGTTGGGGCCTCAAGGCTAGTGGGGCTCAGGGTTTTGGGTCTGTGGCAGGCGGGACCACAGGCTGGGGCTCAGGATTCTGGGGGTGTGTTGGGGGTGCTGATAGGCTCCTGTGGGCTAGGGCTACTAGGTGGCTAGGACTATAGGGTGCCAGGAACAAGCCTGAGTTCAGGCACCTGTGAACAGAAAAAGGAAGCGAGTCAACATCCCTGAGCTCCGAAATAATTGGCCTCCAAAATAATTGGCAGTGGCTTGAGAAACCCTGTGGAGGTGGGCTTGTAAGTGGTGACAACCAGAGGGATCAGTCAAGGTCAAAAGGGATTGGGTGGGTGGGACTTGTGCACCTGGAGGGGGTAGGGCCTGAGGGCAGTGGAGTGGAGCCTGAGGGTCCAGGGTAGGGGCCTGGAAGTTGGGGGCCAGCATCAGGCAGTGGAATGCGTCCAGAGAGTTGGGGCAGGACCTGCAGTGGGGTCTTCCCTAGTGGGGTGGGGTGGGGAGCTGGGGACGGGGCGAGAGGTATTGAGACCAAAGGGCAAGCCAGAAGAGCATCCCAGCCCGCGAGGATCCCACCTCAGAAGAGGCCGCAGTCTTTGAGGTTCTCCTTGATGATGATATCGGTGACGGCATCGAAGACAAATTTGACGTTCTGTGTGTCTGTAGCACAAGTCATATGGGAATAGATCTCCTTCACGTCGCGTCGCATGTTGAGCTCGAGGAACTGCACCTTGATGTAGTTGCCCGCGTCCTCGTACGTGTTGGGCCCTGGCAGGGAAAGAGGGGTGCTCTCATTCGGGGTCCCAGGTCCTTCCCGTGGCGAGAGAAGCGCAGGCCCAGATAACGGGTTTGGGGCGCCGCCTGGCGGCCAGGCCGCGGCGGGGGGGGGGTGGTTCTCACCGTCGTAATCGGGGAAGCAGATGCTGAGATGCGCCTTTTTTATCTTCTCGGAGAAAACGTCCTTCTTATTGAGGAAGAGCACAATGGACGTGGTGGCGAAGTAGCGGTGGTTGCAGATGCTGTTGAACAGGTGCAGGCTCTCGTGCATGCGGTTCTGAGGAGGGCAGAAGCTGTCGGGTGGGGGGCACGGGCAGCCGTCCCTGCGCCGAGGCCCACAGGCTCCGGGGCGCCCGGGGCCATCCGGCTCAGGCAGCCCCAAGTCCGCTTCCCCCACGGCCCCCCTCAGCGTGGCTGCTGGCCGTCCTGTGTCCTCATTCGGGCTGTTCTGGGACGAATGTCCGCTCTCGCCCCCCACCCCCCCCGCAGGACTGTCTCCGGCTTTCCCCTTAAGCACTCAGGCCCTCCTTGGCACCCACCACTTCGTCGTCCTCCACCAGCACCATGTCGTAGGCGCTCAGGGCCGCGATGAAGATGATGCAGGTCACACCCTCGAAGCAGTGGATCCACTTCTTGCGCTCTGAGCGCTGCCCGCCCACATCGAACATCCTGGGGGGGGGGCAGTTGAGGCCTGAACCCGCGCAGGGAGCCCCTGGACGCCCCACAAGCATCCCCTTGCCTCCTAATGCTGGCTGGGATGGGGGGAACCCTCAGAGGGGCCTGCCCTGAGAAGGGCCCGGGCCTTTCTCCCTGCGGGGTATCAGAGAAGGGGCAGGCCCCCTAGGGAGGGGCCTCCGGGTCTGCTGGGGCCTCGGGGCGCCGCCCCAGCAGCCGGGCCACAGAGGAAGGGCGAGGGCGAGGGCGGGCGCGGGTCGTACCGGAAGTTGAGGTCCTTGAAGGAGAACTGGGTCTCAATGATGCCAGTGGTCTTGACACGCGAGCGCAGCACGTCCTGCTCAGTGGGCACGTAGCCCGGGGTGACCAGGCGCTCCAGGTCCGAGAGGTAGCTGCGGGGGACCGCGGGGTGTGGGTGGGGGGGGAGCGGCGCCTGGGACCCCGCCCGCACCCCCGCGCCCCGCCTGCGCTCTCACTAGCCCGCGGAGTCGTTGAGCTGGTACTCAGAGGCGCGTTCGAAACAGGCCTGGATACCCGAGTCCTTCCACAGCCGCTGGATGATGTCCGACATCTCCTTGGGCATCGTGCCCTCTTCGATGGTGTCTGCCATGTGCATCAGCTTCCGGGCATCGTCCTGAGGGCAGGGTGGGAATTGGTGGTGACCGTGGCCCTGAGCCGGGTCTCGCGCCTCGAGTCCCCAGAGGCCCTGCTCAATCAGCCTCCCTGCACACCTGGCGGGCAGAGTCTCCGTACTGGATGTTGAGTGTGGTCATGGCGCGCACGATGGCAAGGATGGACTGCAGCGTGTTGCCGTAGATGATGGCGATGAACTCGAGGCACTCTTCCAGCGAGTACCCATCCTGGTGGATAATCCTGCGGCCAGGGTGAGCCGGGTCAGGGCCAAGGGGACTGGTGGGGAAGGACAGGCCCGGAGCGCGTCCCCCCCCTCAGGGACCTCAGAAAGGGCAAAGGCACTCACTTCATCTGCTTGACGATGGTGCTCTTCCCGGACTCCCCCGCACCTGGAAGGGAAGGCCTGCCTCAGAGCTGAGCTGGCTGCACCTTCCCACAACCTCCCCCTACCCCTCACCCTGCAACCAGGCCCGGAAAATGGGGACAGGCCACCGGACTCAAGGCAGGTACCAGTCCAACCCCCAGTTCCACCTGTTCCCGACTCCCCCCAAGCAAGGTCCTGGCACCCTGGAAGAAAAACGTTCTTCGTAAATGCCAGGAGTGACAGAGGGGGCTGGCGAGGGCAATCAACGACCTCGACCTCGTCTGTGTTGGGGAGCCTCCAAGCCCCCTGATATTTGCATTCTTGATTAGTCTGAAACCAAAATAAAGAAAACCTGGAGCGCCACGTCGTGGAGGGTTCTGGTACTGCACTCAGGGGATTATTAGAGCCGGGTCACCCTCTGCTTTTCACCTGGTGCAGGGAGGAGGAGTGCCTCCAAGAGGCTCAGAGGGAATTTACGCCTTTGAGTGGGGGAGAAGACAGAGCCGACAGCCCCTCTGAGCTTGCCTTCGCGAGGGCTTTGGGCACAGTTAATGAGATTTCTGGCTTAGCCTCTGTCTTCCCTGGGGTGCTCTGGCTTGGTCCCTCTGCCCAATATCTTGATGCCTGACTGGATCCTGGAGAACCTGGGTGGAACCTGCACCGCCCCATCAAAGCAGCTCCTTCTTCCACTTGTAGGGAGCTAGTGGCCTGGAGACATTGCACCTCTCCTCACCCTCCATGGGACTAGGGACAGTGTTTTTTCTATTTTCCACTGGGCCTTGTTACCTCTAAAAAGGGACACCCTCTTAGGTCGGCCAACAACAAAGCTCTGGAATCTAAGGGCCATTGTCTGTGGATGTCCTAGAGGATGCCCACTCCCAGGAGGACTGTTATCTTCTTCTTCTAAGGAAGCAGCCCTATTGTAACACTCCCAAGGAAGCCTCTGGTTTCTGATCCCTGCCCAGCAGGACTTCTCCAGAGGGGGGAATGTCTGAGGCAGGGCTCTCTGGAGACGGGTTCTATGGGGTACCCAGCGCTGGGGAGTCAGGGTATTGCATATCAGGACCAGGGCTCCCACTGGGTTCCCTGATCTGTCTTAGGGTCATTCTGCTTCCCAAGTCACCCATGTTTCACAGGAGGGCTACCTGCCTGTCCCCTTCTCTACCCCCCAGCCGCTCACCTAGTGGCAGTGGCCCCACCTGGACCCACACCCATACCCAAAAGCAGCAGTTTCACAGTTCGAGCATCCTTCTCAGCATCTTCTTTTAGCTTCTTTTCCAGCTCCCTTGAGTGCTTCTCCTCAGCGCTGGCCCCAGCCCCCATGGTCCCAGCAGCAGGTGAACAGGGTGGTTATTTGGTTCTTCTAGATGGAGAGGATCCCCAGAGCTGGGCTCAGGCTGGCCTCAGGTCTCCCAACACCCTTCTGACTCCAGGACTGGCAATCAACTGGCTTTCCACAGACCTGTGCACCCCCTGGTAGGGCTGCTTAGTAGGATTTGGGGGCCAGGAGTTCCCAAGAGCCAATGAGAGACAAGGACAGGTGAATCCAGCTCAGCCCCCAGCCCTTCTAATCAGGCTGGCATGGCCCCAATCCCTCAAGTGCTGACTCTACACCCCTCTCTATGAGCCCCAACCCTCTGGGAGATACTCTGGAAACAGTCTAGCCCCTGCACCACAGCTCAGTAGGGTCCAGGCTTAGAAAGGGGCAAATAGGACCCTGACCCCCTAGAGTCAGGGCAGTAGGGGTGGGGCTGGGTAGCAGAGAGTAGAGGGACAGGCAAGCATGGAGCACCTACCCCTGCCCAGCCCTGGACTCCTTATTTTGTAAGCTCATACAAGCCCTGGTGGATGGGTGCCCACATCATCAGCCCCATTTTACTGATGAGGAAGTAGAGGCTCACACAGAAGGAAGTGTTTGAGAAGGGCTGGGTGACTCTGGATCAGGGTTCCATACTCTGAGAGAGTCAAGAAGGAAGGGAGGACATTGTGTTTGACTTGTACTGAGGGCTGGATCCGACCTGAGCAGGGCCTCTACACACCTCGATTCAGCAGGCTTGGGGAGGGGACCTGCATGTCTGCTACACACATGTGCCTGTGTGTGTGTGTGTGTGTGTGTCTCCTTTGCTGGCATCAACCACAGTGATATGATATGCTTGTCCATGTGTATACTCACATGTACAGATGTGCCTGCGTGTCTGTTTTGTGAGTGCATGTGTGCACATGTGTAGACACACTTTTGTTAATTTTTCTCCATGTGCTTGTATGTGTACTTTGCTTATGTGGTAACATGTGCACCGAGGTATTTGTGTCTGGGTGTATAAATGCATGTACATGAGCCATGCATGCGTTAGTGTGCATGTGCCTGTGCATGTGAGCATGTGCCTGTGAGGGTATGCATTTATGCACGTGTATGCTTGTATATGTGCATACTTGCTGTGCCTCTGCCTATGTATACATGTATACCTGAGGGCAACAAAGTCTCTAATGTGCAGAGATGGCCTGGCTCTTCCAGAGAATATTTTGCAGGCCTGTGGTCAGATGGGGAAAATGAGTCCTAGAGCAGGTTTCCAGGGGCACGGGGGAGTGGGACTCATTTCCTGTTCTACTCCTGATCTGTTCCCTGTGGGTGCTCTGAGACCTGCCTAAGGGCATCTGTAGGGCATGCCTGCCTCAGCTTAGGGGGTGTAGAGTCTGTGTATAGGTCCAGATGGGACAAGGAGTTACTGCTGGGTGGAAGTTGTTCAGTTAAGCCTGAAGTGTCGAGTTCCCAGGCTCTGGATATTTCCCACTTCCTGTAGGAAGCCCCAAACCCTGGGCTCTCAAGTTTCCCTTCAGAGTCTTCTGGTTGGACTCCTCCTGGAAACCCAAAGCCTTTTAGTACTCAACTCTGTTGCAGACCCAAGAGACCACAACGGGGTGCCAGGGCCTCAGATCTTCAGTTTTGGAGACTGTCCCTAACCAGTGGGAAATGGATACTGGCCTCTGGGCAGAGGCTGGTGTCTTCAGGTCTACCCTGTTGGGTGGGGTCTGGTAAGGAACCACCAAAAGCAACAGATCTGCACCACTTTTAGCTTCCAGGTTCCACCCATCCCCCACCTCCCACACTGGAAGTGGGCCCTGAGGGTGGGGGTGGTTCTGCAGCCCCTATGGATATGGGGCCATGCAGAAGCCCAGGTTTGTTACATGAAGGCAAATCTGGTTTCTGTTGTATTTTAAAATGGGCCATACACGGTCCCCCAGTGCCCACCTGGCTCTTCCTGCCAGCCAGGTATGGCCTTAAGTCCTCCTGGATCCACAGGCCTCCCCAGCTCTTAGCTTCCTCTACCAGGGCTTGACTCATTAAATTGAACCAGGGCCCCCAGCCCCACTCTCTCCTCTCTCTCTTCCAGCAGCACCCCACCTGTCCTGGCCTTCACCGCCTCTGGACATCTGCTCACACCAGTCCCCCTGTTGAGAGCCCACTGGAAGGAAGCAGGAAAGATGAGAATGTTGTCAATTTTCAGGGTAGGGGCAGCCTGACTGTGAGGGCTATAGCTTTGTCTGGCCAATACTGAGCCCTTAGCACCCAGTGCAAAGCCCACCGCAAGGCCAGGTGAGAAACCAGTGATCAAACCTGTGAATGAGCGAGTGGAAGCTGAGCTTGTGGGAGCTGTGGGGGTGATGGCCAGGCCACATCAAGGGAGTAGCAGTTAGGCCACAATCTGCGCAGAGGCTGAATCCCCATCCTCCCTCCCCTGCCAAGGAGAAAAGCCAAAGTCCAGTCCCAGAGCCAGTGTTTATTAGCAAGATGGAACCCAAGGGAGGCTGTGGCCTGGGCAGCTGAGGGCCGCCGGGAGCCCCTCCCACCTACCCCCAAAGCCCCCCAGAGCTATTTACACCCATCATCTGAAGTGGTGGGCAGAAGGGAGCCCTGGGGGGGGGGGCTAAAGGCCCCAGGCCTCTACCATGGCCCCCTCTTCCCTCAGCCCTGCCTGCACCTGCCCCTCTACTATTCTCCCAGCCCCCAAGTCACAGTGGCCCAGAAAAAGCGAAGAGGAGGTAGAGTGGCCAGGCAGGGAGGGAAAGAGGGGCTGGAAGTGTGCCCCAGCCAGGCAGGGCTCCTTTGCTCCTGTCCCCAATAAATAGAGAATAAATACCCGGGAGGGGGCTGGCCTTGACTGAGTGCCCCCTCCCAGGCAGGGCCGGCCTCCTGTGACGGCCCCTTCTTCCCTTCTCTGAGTGCATCTGAGCCCCCCACCCCCACTCCCCGTCTCCAAAGCAGTCCTCGCGTCCATGTCTGTGCCAGCGGCACAGCCTGATAGCACACGTTGGCAAAGGTACGCAGTCCGTGCCCTGTCCAGGTAGAGCCTGCTCCCTCCCTGTGTCCTGTAGATTCCGGTGGTGGCTGTCAAGCAGGTGGACTCCCAGCTGAGTCTGGGGACTGTGTGGTCCTGGCCTGGCCCTGCCAACTGGCTGGGCTTGGTTCGGCGGGCTCTGTCTTCTGCGGTCTCTGACCAGTGTGGGTCTAAGTTTTGGACCTTGCTGCCGCTGAGGCAGGCTATATACAACCCACCAATAAATACTGTCTTTGCAGGGGCAGGGTGTGTATAGAATATAGATATTTTATATATATATACATATATATATATATATATATCTTTTATATTAAAAGGGACAGGCCTAGGCTGGCCCATTGCAGGGCTCAGACTGCTGGCCTCATGTGTCCGGCGGGTGGTGGCGGCGGTTCCGGGGCTTTTTCTGGTCCTGGGGTTCAGGAGGCCTGGGCGCCCCTGGGGCCTCCCTGGGGCTTGGGGGCACGTGGCGCCAATAGCCCTGGCAGTACTGGTGGATGAGGCCCACTTCTGGCTGGGCCAGCAGCTGGGCCAGCTCCTGGTAAGGGGGTGTGGGGGGGCCCGCGCCAGGGAGTGGTGGCAGGGCGCTCACAGCTGGCGGGGGGAAGAGGGCAGCGTGGACGGCGTCCCGACCCAGGACGTGCAGCTGTACCCGCGTGACAACGTGCTTGAAGTTGTTTTCGGTGGCAGTGCAGGAGTAGAGGCCACGGTCACCAGGCTGCAGGGCGCGGAGCAGCAAGCCCTGCTCTGTGCGCAGGAAGCGGTCCTCTGCACGGATCTGCAGGGGCAGGGAGCCAGGGCTCAGGCAGGGCTTGTGTGCCCACCTGCTGCCCAGCCAGCTCCCAGAGCAAACCACCTCAGTGGCCATATAAGGGGCTCATGTGGAATTTCCACAAAGAAAAACCCACAGTAAGTTTCCACATAGCATCTGAATAAGGCATCCGTACACATTTCCATTTCAGGAGGAGTGATTTTGAGGGGATTCTGGACAATTAGAGAATTTTGGAGCAATCGCACAGAATTTCTTTTTAATGGGGAATACCCAACTGAGGTATCCTTATAGAATCTCCAGGAAGATTCTATCTTAAGGAGGGGTGTCTGGAACACATTTCCATAAAATGAGAGCTACTCCACAGAATTTCCACATCCTGGAACCCCACCGCATGGTATTTCCATACAACGAGGTATACCTCCAATGGAGTACACGTATGAGCTTTTCATGGAAAAAGGCATGCTTATAAGGGGTTTCCATGTAATATGGAAACCCTAGACTTTCCACAAAACTGGACCCACTTCAGGAAGGGAACTTAGGGGATGCCTGGGTGGCTCAGCGGTTGGGCGCCTGCCTTCGGCTCAGGTCGTGATCACGGGATCTGGGATCGAGTCCCACGTGGGGCTTCCTGTGAGGAGCCTGCTTCCCCCTCTGCCTATATCTCTGCCCCTCTCTGTGTGTCTTGAGAGACCATGAATAAATAAATATATATATATATATATTTTTTTTTTTTTAAAAGGAAGGGAACTTAGAAAGGCTTTCTTAGAATGGGGCTGCCCCAGATTGGCTCCTTTACCACATTTCACCCACATGGAATTTCTACTGCACGGGGGACTCCCACATCCACGGTGAGGACTATAGGGTACAGGAAATCACCTCACGGCGCCGGTCACTGGGATCTCGCTGAAACAGCCACTTAACAGTGGCCTGGGGTGAGCGAGGCTGGCATTCAAGGAAGGCCGCACTACCTGCCACACCGTACTGCACAGACTCCACAGTATTCTTGTTGGCTGTAGAACAAGAGGGCGCAGCATGAAAGCAGCATTGCCTCTGGGCAGACTGCAAGCTGGCAAAGGGCAAGTGCCAAGGGGCCCATATAGGGAACCCACCCTGGAAAAAGGCAGGGCTGTACTATCGGGCATCCACTCCTTCCTTGAGTGGGTGGCTAGGGACATCCCATCTCCCAAATTACAAGCTCCCTCATTCTGTGAGAGTCCTTC